AGGGGTTTGGATTCCAGCAGGCATCGTGAGCGGTTTGATAGGAGTGAATGGAGACAAATGGTTTTTAATACTTGACGTGCTGTTGGAGTGTGAGCAAAGTAACATTTATGAAGGGATTCAGGGAAACCGGCAGGCCGGACTTGAGTCCTGGAGATGGGAAGTACAGTGCCTGCACTCTGAAGGAGGGGTGTTAATGTTGCAGTTTAAAAACTGTAGTGTAAAGCACCCTTCTGGCAAGACAGTGATGGAGTGAATGATGGTGAAAGTTTTTCTTTTTCGGGCCACCCTGCCTTGGTGGGAATCGGCCAGTGTGATAAAAAAAAAAAAAAAAAAAAAAAAAAAAAAAAAAAAAAAAAAAAAAAAAAAAATAGTCTCTATTTCTACAAGTACATGATACAACTTATACAGATCATAGCTAACATCAATGACATATTATATAGAAAGCCTTTGTTATGCAGAGCATTTTTGGCAAATTAAGTCAGTTTTGTTCCCAGAATGCGACCCACACCATTCGACTAACACCCAGGTACCTATTTTACTGATAGGTGAACAGAGACAGCAGGTGTCTTAAGGAACCATGTTCTAATGTTTCCTCCTGTACCAAGGATTGAACCACTGACCTTAATGTTTAAGCTGAGTATTCCAGCAATCAATGTATGGGACATGAGCTAACTAGTTTCCCTGAATCCTTACATAAATGTTACTTTGCTCATAATTTTTTTTTTTTTTTTTAACACACCGGCCATATCCCACCGAGGTGGGGTGGCCCAAAAGGAAAAACGAAAGTTCCTCCTTTTACATTTAGTAATATATACATGAAAAGAGGTTACTAGCCCCTTGCTCCCGGCATTTTAGTCGCCTCGTACAACACACATGGCTTACGGAGGAAGAATTCTGTTCCACTTCCCCATGGAGGTAAGAGGAAATAAACAAGAACAAGAACTAGAAAGAAAATAGAAGAAAACCCAGATGGGTGTGTATATATATGTTTGTACATGTATGTGTAGTGTGACCTAAGTGTAAGTAGAAGTAGCAAGACATACCTGAAATCTTGCATGTTTACGAGAAAGACAAAAGACACCAGCAATCCTACCATCATGTAAAACAATTACAGGCTTTCGTTTTACACTCACTTGGCAGGACGGTAGTACCTCCCTGGGCGGTTGCTGTCTACCAACCTACTACCTAAATTTGCTCATAATTATAATATAATAATAATATCTTTTATTTCTACAAGTACATGTACAAGGTATACAGGCCTAGCTGAGCTGAGCAGAGCATTTCAGGCAAATTAGGTCAGTTTTGTCTGGGGATGTGACCACACCAGTCGACTAACACCCAGGTACCTATTTTACTGATAATAATAATAATATAAATGCCAGGAGCAAGGGGCTAGTATCCCCTTCTCCTGTATATATTACTAAATGTAAAAGGAGAAACTTTCATTTTTTGGGGGGGCCACCCCGCCTCGGTGGGATACAGCCGGTGTGTTGAAAGAAGAAAGAATAATAATATAATAATATCTTTATTTATTACATGTACAAGGTATACAGGCCTAGCTGACATCAATGACATACTACTATATAGAAAGCCACTTGTTATGCAGAGCATTTAGGGCAAATTAGGTCAGTTTTGTCCCAGGATATGACCCACACCAGTCAACTAACACCCAGGTACCCATTTTACTGATGAACATAGACAACCGGGGTCAGGAAACACACCCAATGTTTCCACCCTTTTGCTGGGAATCGAACCTGTACCCTCATCATGTAAAGCGAGAGTTTTTGCCACCAGGCCAAGGGGCACCAGGCCACTTGTTTAAAAAGCAGATCTTTTCCTACCAAGGCAGGTGCAAATCTTAACTATTATTCATTCTCTAGCTGTCTTTCCAGAATGCACTGACATCACAGTTTAAATAACTCATGCACACAGCTGCAACATTCCCACCCATCCTTCAAGGTAAACACAGTGTTCTTTCCATTTCCAAAAATCAAGTTTGGCTAACTAGTTTTTCTGAATTACTTTTTTAGAGGTTACTGTACTTCAAATACCAAAAATCACTTTTTTCCACTCAATCCTCTAACATTTTTATACTTGTGTGCTGTATGCTCAAGCACCTATTACACAAAACCTCTTTCAGATCCTTTTATCAATTCTTTCTTAGATATCTCAACACCTCTTTCCACCAAGTCCAGAGCCTTTCACCTTGGTCTTCCTATGCTGTATAATCCATTTGGGTTTAGCTCTGATATTCATATACAGTACAATAATTGATCAACCTTTCTTACTCCATTCCTTCTAAATGAATAAACCATCTCAACAACCCCTCCTTTGCTCTCTGAATTATGCCTTTCATACCATCACACCATCTTGTAATTCCTACGCTTTTTAATCTCTTCGAAATATTCACACCACATCTCCACTGCCTTCTTTCCCACTTTCTTCTTTTACACATACTCCCAAATTCTTCTATTAGTCTCTGCAGCTTCTCTTCAGAATCCCACAGAAGCACTTTCATCAGTTAATGGCAGCTGTGACAACTCACACTACATATGAGAATATTTTTTTTTTATTAACACATCGGCCGTCTCCCACCAAGGCAGGGTGGCCTGAAAAAGAAAAACTCTCATCATAATTCACTCCATCACTGTCTTGCCAGAGGCATGCTTGCACTACAGTTATAAAACTGCAACATTAACACCCCTCCTTCAGAGTGCCGGCACAGTACTTCCCATTTCCAGGAATCAAGTCTGGCATGCCAGTTTCCCTGAATCCCTTCATAAATGTTACCTTACTCACACTCCAACAGCATTTCAAGTCCTAAAAACCATTTGTCTTCATTTGCTCCTATCTAACATGCTCACGCACACTTGCTGGAAGTCCAAGCCCCTTGCACACAAAACCTCCTTTACCCCCTCACTCCAACCTTTCCTAGGCTGACCCCTACCCAGCCTTCCCTCCACTACAGATTTATACACTCTCAAGTCATTCTATTTCATTCCATTCTCTCTACATGTCCAAACCATCTCAGTAAGCCCTCCTCAGCCCTCTGGATAATAGTTTTGGTAATCCCACACCTCCTCCTAATCTCAAAACTACAGATTCTTTGCATTATATTCACACCACACATTGCCCTCAGACATGACATCTCCACTGTCTCCAGCCTTCTACTTGTTGCAACATTCACCACCCATGCCTCACACCCATACAAAAGCGTTGGTATAACTATACTCTCATACATTTCCCTCTTTGCTTTCATGGATAAAGTTCTTTGTCTCCTCAGACTCCTCAGTGCACCACTCACCTTTTTCTCCTTGTCAATTCTATGATTCACCTCATCTTTCATAGACCCATCTGCTCCCAGATATCTGAATACATTCACCTCCTCCATACTCTCTCCCTCCAATCTGATATCCAATCTTTCATTACCTAATTTTTTTTGTTATCCTCATCACCTTACTCTTTCCTATATTCACGTTTAATTTCCTTCTTTTACATACCCTACCAAACTCATCAACCAGCCTCTGCAACTTCTCTTCAGAATCTCCCAAAAGCACAGTGTCATCAGCAAAGAGCAAATGCGACAACTCCCACTTTGTGTTAGATTCTTTATCTTTTAACCCCAGACCTCTTGCCAACACCCGAGCATTCACTTCTCTTACAACTCCATCTATAAATATATTGAGCAATCATGGTGACATCACACATCCCTGTCTGAGGCCTATTTTTACTGGGAAATAATCTCCCTCTCATCTACATACTCTAACCTGAGCCTCACTATCCTTGCAAACATTCTTCACTGCTTTCAATAACCTACCTCTTATTCCATACATTTGCAACATCTACCACATTTCCCCCCTATCCACCCTGTCATTACGCCTTTTCCAAATACATAAATGCCACAAAAACCTCTTTACCCTTATCTAAGTACTGTTCACCTGTATGTTTCGCTGCAAACACTTGGTCTACACACCTGCTACCCTTCCTAAAGCCTCCTTGTTCATCTGCTATCCTGCTCTCTGTCGTACTCTTAATTCTTTCAATATGACTACCATACACTTTACCAGGTATACTCAGCAGTCTTCTTCTTTCAACAAACTGGCCGTATCCCACTAAAGCAGGGTGGCCCAAAAAGAAAAAAAAATTATCTTTTCAATTTTAGTATTGTATACAGGATAAGGGGTTACTAACCCCTTGCTCCCGGCATTTTAGTTGCCTCTTACGACACGCATGGCTTATGGAGGAAGAATTCTGTTCCACTTCCGCATGGAGAACTCAGCAGTCTTATTCCCCTATAATTTTTACACTCACTTTTGTCCCCTTTGCCTTTATCCAAAGGAACTATGCATGCACTCTGCCAGTTCCTTGATACCTTACCCTCTTCCATACATTTATTAAATAGAAACACTAACCACTCCAGAACTATATCCTCACCTGCTTTAGACATTTCTCTCTTTATCCCATCAATCCCAATTGCTTTACCCCCTTTCATTCTACCGATTGCCCCATGCACTTTCCCCACACTCACAACTAGTTCTTCCTCACTCCTATAAGATGTTATTTCTCCTTGCCTTATACACAAAATCACAGCTTCCCCATCTTCATCAACATTTAACAGTTCATCAAAATACTATTCCCTCCATCTTCCTGATACTGCTAACTCTCCCTTTAATAACTCTCCTCTCCTATTTTTAACTAACAAATCCATTTGTTCCTTAGGCTTTCTTAACTTGTTAATCTCACTCCAAAACTTTTTCTTATTTTTAACAAAATTTGTTGATAACATCTCACTCGCTCTCATTTGCTCTCTTTTTACATTGCTCCACCACTCTCTTTACCTCTCTTTTTCTTTCCATATACTCCTCCCTCCTTGCATCACTTCTACTTTGTAAAAGCGTTTGATATACTAACTTTGTCTCTCTTACTACTCTCTTTACATCATTCCACAAATCGCTGTTCTTCTCTCCCTCACCCACTTTCCTGTATCCACAAACTTCTGCTGAACACTCTAACACTATATTCTTAAACTTACCCCATACATCTTCTACCCCATTGCCTATACTCTCACTAGCCCATCTGTCCTCCAGCAGTTGTTTATATCTTACCCTTACTGCCTCCTTCTTTAATTTGTATTCCTTCACCTCTCTCTCTTACTTTCTGCTTTTGTTTTCCTTGTATCCCATCTACCTTTTACTCTCACTGTAGCTACAACTAAAAAGTGACCTGATATATCTCTGGCCCCTCTATAAACATGTACATCGTGAAGTCTACCCATCAGTCTTTTATCTACCAATACATAGTCCAACAAACTACTGTTATTACACCCTATATTGTATCTTGTATACTTATATATCCTTATACTTATATACCCCGTCAACTAATTACACGAATACCACCTGGTGGTTCACACTTACACTCACTCACCCATTTGACCATAAACAGAAATATCAATCTCAATCTTAAAATAATGAATCCTAACTAGTCATAAGTTGGCCTGTGATACTCCAATACTGAAACTATGTATTGTGCCAAAACAAAAGCATTCGCATTGCTAAACTCACAAACTAGTATTTAGTCACTTAGCCATAATACCAACTTACCTCATAATTTGTAATATTTTAAAGTTAAGAATTAATCTAAGTCTGCCTGAAATGCCTAGCCATGCTAGGTGTTCTAGTGGCCCCCTCTGTAATTAGTATTTTACTACATGTAAACCACTCAATAACCAAATTCTGTAAACTCAGCATTGTATTCCTTATAGAGAATAAACTTTGAATTTAAATTGAATTGAATTGGTTATAGGTAACATATGAGAATAATTATCTGTTATTCTGTATAACCCATATGGGTTTGGAATTTGTTTATAATAATAATAATAATAATAATAATAATAATAATAATAATAATAATAATAATAATAATAATAATAATAATTTTTTTTCAACAAACTGGCCGTATCCCACTGAGGCAGGGTGGCCCAAAAAGAAAAACGGAAGTTTCTCTTTTCAAATTTAGTAATTTATACGGGAGAAGGGGTTACTACCCCCTTGCTCCCGGCATTTTAGTCGCCTCTTACAACATGCATGGCTTACGGAGGAAGAATTCTGTTCCACTTCCCCATGGAGATAAGAGGAAATGAACAAGAACTAGAAAGAAAAGAGCAGAAAACCCAGAGGGGTGTGTGTATATATATGCTTGTACATGTATGTGTAGTGTGACCTAAGTGTAAGTAGAAGTAGCAAGATGTACCTGAAATCTTGCATGTTTATGAGACAGAAAAAAGGACACCAGCAATCCTACCATCATGTAAAACAATTACAGGCTTTCGTTTTACGCTCACTTGACAGGACGGTAGTACCTCCCTGGGCGGTTGCTGTCTACCAACCTACTACCAAGAATAATAATAATAATCTAAGCCTGCCCCTCTCTGCAACACCAGTATTCGCTTCTTTTGCAACTCCATCTAAATGCATTAGACAACCCATACCACGGGCGGGATTTGAACCCACGGTCAGAGAGTCTCAAAACTCCAGACCGTCGCGTTAGCCACTGGACCAGCTAGCTGGTCCAGTGGCTAACGCGACGGTCTGGAGTTTTGAGACTCTCAGACTGCAGGTTCAAATCCCGCCCGTGGTATGGTTTGTTTGCAATCGTGTCATTACGATTTCGTGAGGCATTAGACAACCATAGTGACATCATTATTGTTTTTCTAAGTCCTACTTCTGTTGGAAAATACTTCTGCATTTATGCACACCTTTTACAGCACATTATGTATAGTACTGTATATGTTTTTTTTTTTTGTCCGCAGTTACCTGAAGATATTACATCTTGAGCAAAATGAGATCTGGAGCATTGGAGGCAATTCAAAGGTGTTTTGTCAGCTTCAGGAGTTGGAACAGGTGCTGTTGGGTGACAACAGGCTTATTGATTTTGACTTCAGGATTGATTGTCTTCATTCTTTAATATATATTGACTTGGAGCGCAACATGATTTCCAGGTAAGAAAGTTTAGGAATACGAACTAGGTATATTTGAACTTGCCTAATTGGGTTTGCACGACTATTCAGTGAATACAGAGATACATTGCAAGCTTTTATTTTTCACAATAAAATCTTGCTCTGCACCTAACACAGTAAGTGTCAGGGGTCCAAGACTGTTCAGCTGGCTTGCATCATACATAAAGGGGATTACCAATAGATTTCTATCTGTCTTGAAGAGGGAGCTGGACAGACACCTAAAGTCAGTACCTGACCAGCCAGGCTGTGTTTCATATGTTGGATTGCATGTGGCCAGCAGCAGCAGTCTGGTTGACAAGGCCCTGATCCACCCTGAGGCCTGATCATGGACTATGCCGCAGGGGTGTTGACCCATGGAACACCCTCCAGGTAGACTCCATGTATTTTTTTTTTTTTTTTTTTTTTTTTCAACAAGTCGGTCGTCTCCCACCGAGGCAGGGTGACCCAAAAAAAAGAAAGAAAATCCCCAAAAAGAAAATACTTTCATCATCATTCAACACTTTCACCACACTCACACATTATCACTGCTTTTGCAGAGGTGCTCAGAATATAACAGTTTAGAAGCATATACGTATAGAGATACACCCTTGAAGGGGATGGGGGTGTCTTGATGCTGGTGAAGGGCTTTTGTTGCAAGGAATTGGAAGTAACCCTCCCATTCCTAGGGTTAGACCTGCTTATCTCCCATTCCCCAGGTGCTGTATGGCTCTCCCTATGTTTTTAATTCTTCCCCATGGATATTGTAATAATAATAATAATGTTCTTAAGAACTGATCTCCAGTTTCCTGGTCTTGTCTTTTAAGTATTGAAGAGTGATTCCATATTTTACCGTCATATTTACATGTACACCAGCTGTGATGACAGATTGCTTGACTGACTTTCTATGCTGGCAAAGTCCTAGATCTCTCATTGGTTCAATAACTTCACTTCGATTTGAATAACCTCTTTAGGTGCCTTCTTGTTAAACTTTCTAGTTCTTGACATTCAGGATTATGTATCATTGAAGCATAGCTCCCTTCTTTCCTTTATGGACAATATGCTCTAGTTTCTTTTCTTGGTGGGCTTTCTAGTACATACTAGTGGCTTTCATTGTGCCTAACAATGTTTTATTACATGTAAGCTACATTATCCTTGGACAGCATACAAAGAAATAAAAATTTGAATTTGAATATACAGTACCTCTGTACTCTTTGGATTATTACCCACAAGTTGGGTATGGGGGGGGTGCATAATAATACTTAAAATCTTCAAGTTGTCCTTGTGTAACTTTTGATTTTGGGCTCTATGATGCCTTTAGAAGGTTTTATGAAAAGATGGTGTTCCTCTGGAAAAATCTCTTGATTCTCTTTTTTTCTATAATGCTGTTCTCTCCTTTATTTTAGGTGCTTTTTTCTAAGTGGAAATTAGGCAGGCATTTATAACTGAGAAATAACACTAGGGCCATTATAATATGTACAGTGTATATTCTAATATGGTGCTCTTTTCTAGGCTCTCTGACCAGGCCATGGCTGATCTGGATGACTTTATGAAGAGTAAGCCCAGACTTGAAATCAAACTGGATGACAATCCTTTCGTTTGTGACTGCCGCTCAAAGAACTTCATCAACTGGTTAAACACTACGTCTGTCAAAGTAAAAAATTGGGAGAACTACAAATGCGTTGATGGATATCCTAAGTCTAACATTGGAAAAAGGCTGATTGAGGTAAGATATTTAACCCGTAAACGGTCCAAACGTATATATACGTTTTTTCAACATTTGATAGTATGTAAAAAAAGTAGATCATCTTTTTTTTTTTTTTACATTTGAAAATGTGTAAAAAACTTTGATCTACTTTTTTTTTGTTATATTTGAAAATATTTAAAAAAAAACATAGATCTACTTTTGGAGCACTACGCATGTGAACGTAGATCTGCTTGGACCGTTTACGGGTTAGAGTAAAGAGTTTTTCACGATATTTATATTTGATCATAGTACAGTATTTAGTAAGCACTTCCATAAATTATTTAACCCGTAAACAGTCCAAACGTATATATACGTTCTCTACCATAGTGTCCCAACTTTTTTGAGAAAAAAAATTGTTTTTTTTTTTTACTAAGAAAAAAGAGCATGGTACCCAGGCATCCCCAGTTATTTTAATATGGCACACAGTGAGTGCACACACCCATTCTCTCATGTCTCGGTGACTCAGGCTTATCGTGGCAATGTTAAATGTATGACAAATAAAACGTATATATACATTTGGGGCACTAGCGGTAAAAACGTATATATACGTTTGGACCGTTTATGGGTTAAAAATAGTCAGACTGGTACGTCACAAAACAAACAAGGTTTTTATAAGAATGACTTGGAAATGGGCAGTCACAACTGTATATGCTCTGCTACACACTCAAACTACTATATATTACATATCCTGGTAATCTCTAAATTATTGTTTAATTGGATTTCTACTGTATCTAAGTTCTATACGAAGGGCTGGCCTGCAAACAAGGTAGTGACTCGGAATCTTTAACTCCTTAGTTAAACACAGGTCTGGCTCCTAGGCATTGCATCATGTGTGACATATATGCTCTTGTTGGGGAACTTTATCCCTACACTTGTCATAGTGAGCCTACCCTCTCCACACTTATTCAGAATTGTTATTTGTATTCACTTACTCTTAAGTTTGCTTTGTTATTGCATCTTCTGAAATTAGCAATTTTGTAATAAAACTAATGAAATATTGTATAAATTTGGCCCATCCTAATTATAGTGTTGAAGTGGTTGGTATTTTTGTTTAATAAATGTATGAAAGAAGGGAAGGCACCGAGGGATTGGCAGAGAGCATGTATAGTCCCTTTATATAAAGGGAAGGGGACAAAATAGATTGTAAAAATTATAGAGGAATAAGTTTACTGAGTATACCAGGAAAAGTGTACGGTAAGGTTATAATTAAAAGAATTAGAGATGTAGGATTGCGGATGAGCAAGGAGGTTTTAGAGTGGGTAGGGGATGTGCAGATCAAGTGTTGACATTGAAGCATATATGTGAACAGTATTTAGATAAAGATAGGGAAGTTTTTATTGCATTTATGGATTTAGAAAAGGCATATGATAGAGTGGATAGCGGAGCAATGTGGCAGATGTTGCAAGTATTTGGAATAGGTGGTAAGTTACTAAATGCTGTAAAGAGTTTTTATGAGGATAGTGAGGCTCAGGTTAGGGTGTGTAGAAGAGAGGGAGACTACTTCCCAGTAAAAATAGGTCTTAGACAAGGATGTGTAATGTCACCATGGTTGTTTAATATATTTATAGATGGGGTTGTAAAAAGTAAATGCTAGGGTGTTTGGGAGAGGGGTGGGATTAAATTATGGGGAATCAAATACAGAATGAGAATTGACACAGTTGCTCTTTGCTGATGATACTGTGCTCATGGGAGATTCTAAAGAAAAATTGCAAAGGTTAGTGGATGAGTTTGGGAGTGTGTAAAGGTAGAAAGTTGAAAGTGAACATAGAAAAAAGTAAGGCGATGAGGGTATCAAATGATTTAGATAAAGAAAAATTGGATATCAAATTGGGGAGGAGTATGGAAGAAGTGAATGTTTTCAGATACTTGGGAGCTGATGTGTCGGCGGATAGATTTATGAAGGACGAGGTTAATCATAGAATTGATGAGGGAAAAAAGGTGAGTGGTGCGTTGAGGTATATGTGGAGACAAAAAACGTTATCTATGGAGACAAAGAAGGGAATATATGAAAGTATAGTAGTACCAACACTCTTATATGGGTGTGAAACCTTGGGTTGTGAGTGCAGCAGCGAGGAGTCGGTTGGAGGCAGTGGAGATGTCCTGTCTAAGGGCAATGTATGGTGTAAATATTATGCAGAAAATTCGGAGTGTGGAAATCAGGAGAAGGTGTGGAGTTAATAAAAGTATTAGTCAGAGGGCTGAAGAGGGGTTGTTGAGGTGGTTTGGTCATTTAGAGAGAATGGATCAAAGTAGAATGACATGGAGAGCGTATAAATCTGTATGGGAAGGAAGGCGGGGTAGGGGTCATCCTTGAAAAGGTTGGAAGGAAGGGGTAAGGGAGGTGTTGTGGGTGAGGGGCTTGGACTTCCAGCAGGTGTGCATGAGCGTGTTCGATAGGAGTGAATGGAGACGAATGGTATTTGGGACCTGACGATCTGTTGGAGTGTGAGCAGGGTAATATTTAGTGAAGGGATTCAGGGAAACCGGTTATTTTTATATAGCCGGACTTGAGTCCTGGAAATGAGAAGTACAATGCCTGCACTCTAAAGGAGGGGTTCGAGATATTAGCAGTTTGGAGGGATATGTTGTGTATCTTTATTCGTATATGCTTCTAAACTGTTGTGTTCTGAGCACCTCTGCAAAAACAGTGATTATGTGTGAGTGAGGTGAAAGTGTTGAATGATGTTGAAAGTATTTTCTTTTTGGGGATTTTCTCTCTTTTTTGGGTCACCCTGCCTTGGTGGGAGACGGCCGACTTGTTAAAAAAAAAAATAAAAAAAAATAATAATAATAATAATAATAATAATAATAATAATAATAATAATACATTATCAAGTGATTATCATGCATCTTTCTTTCTCTTCACTCTTGAATAAGGATGAAGTATAAGCTCAATAGTCTTATATAATGAACATGCTAGTAAGATGTAAAATAATACTGTATGTGTATAAGGTTGCTTTATTCAAGTTGTGTACAATATATGATATAGGTGTTTGAGTCAAAATTTCTGAGAGATGCCTAGAAGGGAAGAATTAAGTAAATAGACACCACTTGTATGGGGATGCATGGGTCAAGTCTTGGTTTCTGGGCCCACCTCTCTGCTGTCTGCTACTTGGTTTTATTTCTCTCCTCTAACTTCGTTAACCCTATCATATCTACTTTTAAAATTATGTATGGAATCTGCTTCTGCTCTTTCCTGTCTAGGTTATTGCACTTCCTGACCACTTTAAGGGTATAAAGAGTGTGCCAGGGTTCAAGGCTGCAAAAGACTGATGCACAGTAATGCTATGTGCTAACACTGCTGGGCACATGGTAAAGCCAGGCTTTATTTATAAAGCTGCCAACCTCAGAGCACTGAAGGGACACAACAAGAATCTCCTTTTAGTATTCTGGATGCACAATCCAAAAGCAAGGACCACCAACGTCATCTGTACGGACTGGTTTCACCACTGCTTCCTAACAGAATACTCCATTCGACTGAATGTACAGCAATGCATGCAACCATATGACCTGTCTTTGTAATACTCATTTGTGCTTTATAGTTATCTGTTTACAATAATGTTTTATCACTGATTTCATCATTGCTTAGTTAATCTTAAGTTAATTTTAAGCCAGCCCGTAATGCTATGCATTTAAGTGGCTTTGGCATGCTGCTCTTACCTGTATTTTTTTGTACCTCTGTATGTATGCTAAAATTACTAAATAAATAAATAAATAAATAAATAAATGGAGGTACGGGCATACCTACAAGAGAAGGGCCTCCCAAACTAAATCCTCCTGCTTCTTGATAATGCTCCAGGTCACCCACCATCACTGGAGGGAATGTGTGACGATGTTGAGGTTGTGTTCATGCTGCCAAACACAACCTCCCTGATACAACCTCTTGATCAGGGTGTGATAGCTACATTTAAAGCTTACTACACATGAAGGTCAATGCATTATTATTATATTTCCCTAAATCATATTTGCGCACCAGACATTCGCAAATTTTCAAGATTCGCCAGGTTCTTGAACCCTTAACCCTCACGAATGTGGAGGGCCTCCTGTATTACCAAACATTACTGTGAGTCAAGTATGTTTTTAACTTTCAGCTATGCCCTCATGTACCTTATTTCTACCTCTAGCAGACTATTCCTGTCCATCCTATCAATTCCTCCTGGTATTTTGTGCATTGTTAACAATTCACCCCTCATCTATCTCTTCTTGAATGTCATCAGGTTTAGCTCCTTTAGCCTTTTCTCATAGTTCATATGCTTTAACTCTGGGACTAGTTTTGTGGCAAGCCTTTGCACTTTTTTCCAGCTTTTTGATATGCTTTATCAGATGTGGGCTCTATACTGGTACTGCATACTCCTAGATGGGCCTGACATGTACATATAGTGTGTCGTAAGGGACTCCTTGTTTGCTGTGGCGGTTATTATGTTGATGTTGGCTTCAGGTGATATGCTCGAAACTGTGCTCACCCTGAGGTACTGTACTTCTCTCTCAGGGAGGTTTGCAGCCTTTGTCTTCCTCTTGGTTTTTGTCATCTTTTTACTCTCCTTGATTTGCTGGGGTTTAATTCTAATAACTACTCATCAGACTAACTCTGTAGCTTATCCAGATCTGTGTGTAATATTTCTTTGTCTGCTCCTGTTTGTATTCTCCACATTAATTTCACATTATCTGCAAACAAAGATACCTCTGAGAATAAAAAGGCACAATACCTTGACTGGAACAGTACACAGATAACCCACACATAGGAGAGAGAAGCTTACGATGACGTTTTGGTCTGACTTGGACCATTAGTGTTAGTGTGACTTTGTAAATGGTCCAAGTCAGACTGAAATGTCGTAAGATTCTCTCTCCTGTATGTGGGTTATTTGTGTATTGCACAACAAACAGTACTGGTCCAAATACTTACCCTTGTGAAACCCCCATTTGTCACACTTTGCCTTTCCAACACCACCTCCAGATTTGATTCTAGTTTCTTGTGCTGT